TTGTCGTCTGCAAGATGCACACAGCGACCAGCTGACCATATATCTAGTTCATTGGGCATTGCTTCCTCTCTCTTTCCAACTTTCATCTCCGGTGTGTATCCTCCCTTTTCAGTTTCAGGTTTGATTGTTGTTCCTTTTGCTCCTCTCTTTCATTTCAACTTTATTACGAAGAAGGTACGTTCTTAATCAACATTTGACTTTTCGTTATGGAATTTCTTTGATACTTGCCAAGTCTTCTATGACTAGAGTCACTCTAACTCAGCACTTTCCAAATGATAATGTGTAGAAAATTAAACAGAGAATTATATAAAAATATTATTTTGAAAATAGTAATTTTCTCATTATATTATAATTACTTGAAAGTTTTATCCTTACAATACAATGCCTAATCACCATAATAAAGAAGCTGCAATCTCAATTTTCATATAACCAGAACTAGCTAGCTTCATAGAATTAATAATTAAGATTGTAAATGCTACACCCTTAACAAAATGATGAAAATGTAAAACATATGTATCTATTATCCTTTCTAAATATTTATTGTCATCTTATTTAAATCATTTTTATAATAATATTAATAGTAGGAGTCTTTTTAATAAAAATTACTTAAAAGAGTGACAATGACATAATTTTTCAGAAAACTGTTAAAAATAACAGTAAGTTATAAAATACAATTCATTTAATGCTTCTCAACATTAATAGCCTAACTCAATTCAACGCGTAAATATTTTTTTAAGTCAATACTTGACAATCTTTAACTCTTCATGCCATCCAATTTTATTTATTTATCTCTGTGAGAATAGACTCTGTTTTAGGCTTGGAATTATAATTATTTAATTCCTATAAAAATTTTATTGAGATTCGAATTTAGGAAGGAAATTATTATGTTTTAGTTTGGAATTATGATAGATAGTTTTTTCAGAAGTTATTACACTGTAAGAGTAAGTGTCCGTTATTACTCCCAAATTGTATCACTTTAGTTCTTCATTTTATAAAAATAGCACTTTAATCTTTATTTTTTAAAAAGACACCCATTTTAAATTTTATTCTGCTACAGTTGTATTGTTGTTTTGGTTTGGACTTATGATAGATAGTTTCTTCTTATTAAATTTAATTTATTAATCATAACAAAAAAAAATTTAGGCATTTGATTTAGTAAAAAGTTTTATGCAATTTTTTTTTATTAAATTTACCTTTGGATGCTTATTGTATGATTGAATGGTTAGGTTGATTTGTCAAAATGTCTTCTTCACACCATTCTAGTAGTGGGTCTGTAAATGTCTCTTCCAATCCTTCCATATCCAATAGTAATAAATTTGCTTCTGGAAGTGTTGAGGGTCATTGTCCTCTTTGGGCCTATGTGACAATTGTACAAAGTAAAAAAGATGGAGGAGAGAATGCTAGATGAAAATACAATTATTGCAATGTAATTTACGATGGTTCTTAGTCTAGAGTTAAGAATCATTTGTTGAGGGAAAAGGGACGTGGTGTAGCAATTTGTACAGAAGTGTCAAATGAATATATTGAAGAAATGAAACAAGTTGAGAGAATGGTTGATGAGAAAGCTAAACCTGTGCAAGTGCCTTTACCTATTGGAACAACAAGTTTGATTCCACCTGTGGATGGGAGCAAGAGAAGAAGATGAGGACCATTTGAAAAGGCGTTTAACAATGAGGCTAGAGATTATTTGACTTGTGAAATTGCTAGAATATTTTATTCAGCCGGTTTGCCATTCAATATTGCTCGTAATCCATATTTTGTTAGTTCAACATTTACTGCTAACACTCAAATCTCAGGTTTTCTTCCACCGGGTTACAATGCTATAAGAACATCACTCTTGCAAAAGGAAAAGACCAACATAGTAAAGTTACTCCAACCTATCAAAGACACTTGGCCAGAAAAAGGTATGAGTATAATTAGTGATGGTTGGATTGATGCACAAAAAAGACTACTAATTAACTTTATGGCGACATGCAATTCAGGTTCTATGTTTTTGAAAGCAATTGATGGATCTGGTGAATACAAGGATAAGAATTATATAGCAAACCTCATTCTATCTACCATTAATGAAGTTGGAGCACAAAATGTTGTCTAAATAATCAAGATAATGCACCTGTTTGCAAAGCTGCTGGATCTATTGTGAAATTTGTGCATCCTCACGTTTTTTGGACACCTTGTTTTGTGCACACACTAAATCTTGCACTCAAAGGTATTTGTTCTCCGAAAAATACACCAGCTAATGAGGTTGCTTATAATAAGCGTAGTTGGATCTCTCAACTTGCTGATGACACATACTTCATAAGAAATTTCATTATGAATCATTCTATGAGACTTGCCATGTTCAATCAATTTAATAATTTAAAAATGCTTGCCATTGCTGAGACTCGATTTGCATCAACCATTATCATGCTTAAAAAGTTGAGAACCCTTAAGCATGGTCTTCAAACTATGGTTATTAGTGAGCAATGGTCTCATTATAAAGAAGATGATGTCCTAAGAGCTACCTTTGTGAAAGAAACAATTCTAAACGACAGTTTTTGAGATAAGATTGATTATATCTTGAGCTTCACGAACCCTATATATAAGATGCTTCGTTCTTGTGACACCAATGAACCAACTCTTCATTTGGTTTATGAAAAATAGGATGTCATAATCGAGCAAGTGAAATATGCAATATATTAACATGAGGGCAAGGAGTTAAATGAACATTCATCCTTTTATGAAGTGGTGTATAACATTTTGATTGATAGGTGGACTAAAAGTAACACACCACTTTATTGCTTGGCTCATTCACTAAATCTTAGGTAAAGTTAATTAATTTGCAAGTTTTAATTTATTTTACTTGTTGGGTTATAGTGAACTAACTTTAAGTTATTGATAGGTATTATTGTAGGCAATGACTTGATGAAGCACCAAATCAAGTACCTCCACACAAGGACAATGAGATTTGCATAGGGAGAAACAAATGTTTGAGAAACTACTTTTTGTATCCAAGGGAAAGATTAGAGGCAACCCAGGAGTTTATTAAATTCTCAAGTGGTGGAGAAGAGATTGGTCAATTTGATTGTTTACAAGATAGGTGGAACTTAAAGCCAAAAGAATAGTGGGTCATGTATAGTACTGCACTTCCTAAACTTGAAACTATTGCCTTAAAGGTCCTTTCACAACCATCATCTTCTTCTTGTTGTGAGCGAGATTGGAGCTCATATTCTTTTATTCATTCCATGGAAAGAAATAAGCGCAACTCTAAGAAGACTGAAGATTTAGTTTTTATACATACAAATCTCCGATTGCTCCCAAAAAATAATAAGAACTATTATGAGGGTCAGACCAAAATGTGGGATATTAGTGGTGATGAGTGGGATCCATTTGCAGGGACTTGTTTTCTTGAAGTTGCTACTCTTTCCCTTGGTGAACCAGATTTAGAGACAGTGTTTTTTACTGATGATAGAGAAGAGAATGATGAGATTGACATTATTAGAGTATGAATGTTTAGCCTTTCTGTTATTAATTGTAGAATAATTTATAAATTTGTGTTTTTATTAGAATCTTATTTGTTGAACTATATAATTCACTTTATGTTATATCATTTTGAATGGATTGTTAGATAATTTTATGTTATTTAATTATGTTTATATTAAATTTTATTTATTTATTTATATTATATATAGATGTACCCATACCCTAATTTTTAAAAAATTAGCGTATTTATCCATGCAACTTAGATGCACAACCATTGTGCAAATCATGAGAACAACCTCTTAGACGAAATATCCATCGTTATCAATATGATATTTCAAATTCTATTACACATATTTGACCTTTCATTTATCTATTGAATGTCGAAAACACCACTAAACACTACACTACACTTTTTCTCTTGCATGGTTTATGTCGAGAAACTACCTTATCCCCAACTATCTCTAAAGTCCAACCTCAATCTAAACCAAAAATTTCACCCACAAGATTCGAATAACACTGTTGGCCGTCAGTTTTTGCTTCAAAACCTCTCTTGAGTTCAGATTAAAATGGATTCTCTACAATGCTTTCTATCCCAATCCATCAACACCATTGTTTCATCACTCACCAAATCACCACTCTCTCCAACTAAATTGTCTTCACCATCCACAAAATCATTGTGAACAATGATGCTTTGCAATATTCACTTCATCAATCCCCTTACAAGTTATCACTGGGGTGACATATCATTCAGGACAGAGAAGGTCCAAGAGAACCAAGTCATTAAGGACTAGAAACAAAAATTTATTAAAAAGTAGAGATTAAAATAATTATTTAAAAGGACTAAAACAAAAAAAATTTGTTTAAAGAGATTAAAATTAAAATTTTGTTAAAATATGAGAACTATGATTTCCCATTCTTTTGATAACTGTGACATGCATAATATATAAGCATTGTGGTTCATCAACTAAGTCAAATAATGTTACTAAGTATTTCATAAAGACTTTTAAAAATGGTTTTACAAAAAATATGAAATTGATTCAATTCATCTATCACAAAATATACAATTCATTTAATACAAAATCAAATAAAAAATTAAATTTAAAATCACATTATATAATATTTAAACTAAATTATTAGTGAATTAATTTAGTTTGACTTTTAAATATTTGATAAAACTTATTTATTTAGGTAGACAAATAACCTCAAAGTAGAGTTATTTCAAATATTTAAATTAAAAATTTTATAAACTTAACGTTATTAGTTCTCATATACATAAAAATACAAAATTGTATATTATATATAAATTAATAAATAAATAATAATTTAATCTTTAAAATTTTACTTTTCTTTGTTAATTTATGTTAAGTTTTATGTAAATTTTTAATATATTCACAATTTTATCTTTTAAATTATTTTGATTTACGGAAATATTCGCAGTTAAAAAGTGGAAGAATAAAATGAAATAAACATATAAGTTGGAGATCTAAAATGCAATTTAGGCAAATTCAAATTTGAATGTTTGGGGATTGATCTCAAACAACCCCAGACGGAACTGCAGCATGTGAAGGTGGATTTGTTCTCATTTCCGAGTCTCACACAGGACCATTCTCACAAAGGAGAAACCCCTCTCATCTATGAACGCTGAACCCATTGCTGATTCACAAAGAACCAGGTAAATCTTCGTACCTTCAGAACAAGAGATTTTCGCCATTTCATTTTCAATTCTCTGAGTCACTCACACGTTCTCTCATTTGAGTTTGTTTGAATCTTCAATCATGTAGCGTGGCGAATTGATTTGGAATCGTAAGCGAAAACTCGAACGATGGGCGATCAAGAAGCGGTGGTAACGGCAGAAGCGTCTGTGATGGGAGAGGTGAAGGAATGGTTAGCGAAGACATTCGAAGCCGCCGGAAAACCCGTTCCCGATTTCGAATATACTCCTCGCAGCGTCTCGCATTTGCACCATCTTATGACTCTTTCCAAAGCCAAGGACGAAGCTGCGCGTCTCGTCGCTCGCGATTTTCGCCTCAAAGCCTCTGAATACCGATCCCAAGGTTAGGGTTATGGTTTAGGTTAGGTTACTTTTTTTTTCCCTTTTCTGTCAATGAAAAGACCAAGGTTTTGAATTGCGGATGCGGAAAAGTTGCAGGCAAATGTGGCTGCAATTGTGCTTCCAAGACTGCAATTGCGGATTGGAATTTAAAACTTGGAGAATGACAATGCTGATGATGATTGGTTACGCTGAAGTTGTGGGCGAATGTGGCTGCGATTGTAGTTGTGCATTGGATGTCCAATTTAAAACCTGGGGAAATGATAGTGCTTATGATGATTTTTTGTTAGGGTTATGTTTTCCTTTTCTATCGCCAAAATAAGGTTTTAAATTGCACTTCTAAAACTGTGATATGTTGCCCTGCCAGGGCAGGATGCCAATGCAATTTAAAACCTTGAAATGACATTGATGATATGTTGTTGGGTTAGGGTTCCTCTTTTCGTATTCTGTTAGCAAGATGATCATGGTTATTGAAGTTATGGGTTAAAAGGTTAAAACCTTTGAAAATGACCATGTTGGTGATGATTTGTTGTTGAAGTTTTCCTCTTTTACTTTTCTGTTAGCAAAATGACAATGGTTACTGGAATTGGGAGTTAATGTGGCTGCAATTGTGGTTGTGGATTGGAATTTAAAACCTTTGAAAATGATGATGCTGATAATGATTTGTTCTTGCAGCCGCAAGGATTAGGGAGATTTTGGAGAATGTGGGTTTGGCGCAGGAGGGCTTGCCCTCCAATGTGGTTGTGACAGCACAAGTTCTTGCGAATGTTGCCAACTTGTTGAACATAAGAGATACTGAAATGAGTAGGTGGGTTTTGCCTTGATCGTTGTAATTTTGTTTGTTTTTCATTTCTGCTGTGTCAAAATTTAATGTTTGAATCTTGAGCTCACCCTGGAAGCTGTGTTTAGCTTTCTTGTAGCAATGGGTGATATTTCCCTGAGGAAGACTGGTGTGGAGGAAAAAAGGGCTAAAGTGCACAAGGAGTCTAAGCTTCTTCTTGATTACACTAGAAAGGCCATTGCCAGGCTAACATATTTAAAAAGGTACTTTTTCAAATGTTTTAAACGAAGTTTAAATTGAAATCGTCAAAATTGTGGAGAATTCTTGGCAAATAATTGCTGATAGAATGTTGTTGCTGAGACGACCCCAAAAACTGCAATGTTGCAGACCATAATTTAAAACTATGGAATTGAGTGCTTTTATGTATTCGTTGAGTGTTTAAAATTCTGTTTTCAGTTGCCTTGCAAATCTCAGTTGCATTGTGGCTGATGCAGTCTGCAATCCCAACCTAACTTGGTTGTTGCAGCCACTGCTAGTGGGACATTGCATCTGCATCATGTGAAGTGATGTTGACCTAGATAAAATATTTAACCTTTTTGCACAGTATGCTTTTTGTTCTTTGCTAAGTTTACATGAAACAATTTTTATGCAGAACACTTGCCCAGTTAGAAGATGAGGTAGCTCCATGTGAGGCTCAGATGGAAAATTGGAACACAAACTTGCAAGTAATGGCTGCAAAAGAAAGACAATACATGCAACAATGTGCCAACTACAAGGTACAGTGCCTTTTTTATTTTATTTAAAAATTTTTTTTTTTTGGGGTGGTTGCTCCAGAGGTTAGTTGAACGTGAGTTTGGGACTAACAAGCATAGTTGTTAAATAGCAGTTATGATACTTCCATAACTGAATAGCAGGGTGGTTTTGATTCCCACCGCCATTTGCCACCTGCTTTGTTGTGCTTTCTTCCATGAGGAAAGGCTGAAAGCAATTCTTTTCCTAGGTTGACTCATGAGTTAGTGAGCTTGACTGGCTTTCCTCTTTTCTTAAATGTTCTAATAACAATTGGATTTTTTCTGTTCTGGATTTTCCATCAATTCCTTCGATCCCAAGTGGCAGTCATGGAAGATGTGGACTATTATTTTTCAATCATTTTAAAAGAGTTTTGAATAGCTTTTCTCTGAATTCACATCAGAAATTGCCAGAACACAAATGAAATCCTGAGTTATGTATAAAACCAAAATAAACCTATAGAAAATATGTATTCACTTGTTTCAAAAGTGCTAAGGGGAAGCCACAAGTAAGTTAGTTTGGAGAACCAAAGACTGTTCTCTGTGCACTGGACATGTAGCTTACTGCCATGAATCGCTGCCACCATTTATAGCATTGAATTGTGTCTCTATTTTATAAAATTTCTAATGTTTGGCATAGAATTTTCAGGCGCATCCTTAATCTTGCAAGATCATGGAACATAAAAAACTGTACAACATTTGACTGGCACTATTTTGACCATACATTAATTACAAAATACAAGAACTATTTTGACCATACATAAATTACACAATTCAAGCCCTATTTTGACTATACATAAATTACACAACACAAGCACATCTGAAAAGAAAGCAAACATCATGTCAATAGACAGAGTGCAAATATGATAAGAACTCGATTAACTGAATTGAATACAATTCCAAATAAAGAGCCCAAAACTGGACTCAGAGATCAAGCAACAGTATTTTGCAAATACACCAGAGCAAAAGCTTCGAAACAACCAGCAATCACAGCAAGGTCCCTCAGTGTGCCAATAACCCACTAACAGAAAAGCCTGCTCTATCATGCTATCCCCCACATCCTATATATCTCTAAATATTCTAACAAATTCTCCTAAGTCCTAATTAACTTTTGCCAAATTGGCATTCCCATCCTCCTGTGCCTTCTTTCTTCTAGTATACACCTTCCAAACCTTAGGCCTCGGCGGCCCAATACTCAGAAACTCATTCACATACTTATTGGACCTATCAATAGCTGTTGCTGAATCAACAGCCTTGTCCTCAAGGCTGAAATCAGGAAACTGACTCTTACGAAGAAATTGCTGATTTGTTTCTTCATTCCTATCCTATACAAATTGTTAGCCAGCCTCCAGTTCTTAAGAATCTTGAATGACCACTAGTGGGAGAAGAATGAAATTCATGTAATAAGAAGAATATTTATAGGGTCCAATCTGGAATTGGGCCTGCAAAACCAATGTTGTCAAGATCAGGATCTTACCTAGGATCGAAAGGGGGGTCAAAAATCGTAAATCGTGGGATCGTAAAATAGATCGTAAGATCTTACCAAACATGTAAAATTATACTTAAACATATATATAAACATAAAAAATAACATACATAAGGAAATTAACATCTAAATCACATAATTTAATTAAACATAACTTAAAAATCACAGATTCTTGATATAATACAACACATAATTAGTCAAACTATTATTAATCTATTACAATAAATTTTTCAAGTCCCAATCAGGATAATCATCTTCTATATAGTTATCTTTATCAATATCATCCACATTAGGCTCATCATCATCATCAGCAGGTGGAAGGTCCAAATCATCTATAGGTGTACTTGCACTACCAACACCACTGCTTGCTTTTTGATCTTGAATCAAGTTCTCATCTAAATCCATATATGAAATTAGCTCATTTTCTTCTTCTACAATCCAATCATCATCAGAAGCAACATCCTCAATGTCAAAGTTAGGCTCTTTTCTCCTCTTGATATTATTGCCTAATTTTGAGTTTGTCATGACATATACAACATCATTCATTGTTTTTTGCTTTAAACGATTTCTTTTTTTTATGTGAACCTAAATATCAACAACATTAATTAATAATTTAACATAATAATTAAAGTAGTTCACTTGGTAGTTTTAAGAAATAACTTACCATTTCAAAAGCATTCCAATTATACTCACAACTAGTTGAGCTGCATGTCAAGTTCAATACACGAATGACAAATTTTTGTAACTCTCGATGTTCTCCACCATAAGATTCCCACTATTGTGCTGGAGTTTTCACTTTCATTTCAATAATTGCTAATTTTGTACCAAAACATCTTTTTTTTAGCTTTGAAATACTCCAATTGACCATCAATCTTATTCACTTCATCCATGTTTTTTACCATTATTTCTAAACACTCATATAATCCACGCTTAACTTCAAAATCCAGAGCATAATGCAAAATTGGGTTAAGGTAGTAGCTTGCAGCATGCAAAGGTCTATGCAATTAGTTGTCCCATCTTTCATCAAATATCTCCCATAGTGGCATGAAACTAGAGATTAAAGAATTAAAAAAAAAAAAAGTTTTCAAACCAAAACTATAAATTATCAAATTAAAATAGTCTAATATACCTTTTTTTAACACCATTGAAGTTTGTTTGAATCTTCTCCTTGGCTTGATCCATTTTCTCATAAATAAAATCTATGGCTGGCTTGTCCTCTGTATCCACCAAACGCAACACTCTAATTAAGGGATAAACACCCTTTAAACAATTCAGAATATCTTTCCAAAACTCCTTATTTGTGACTAGATTTTCTACGACTATTTCATCCTTTGTTTTGGCAAACTTATTATTCTTCCATTCTTTGGATGTAAACATTCTTAATAATGATCTTTTATTATCATTCAAACATCCCAAAGTCAAGTAAAAAGTTGCAAAACGTTTAGCTGTGGGTCTAATTAAATCTGTACATTGAGTAAAGGTATGCAACAAAGATATAAGACCAGTTCTAGAATAGATGTAAGTTGTGATTTTTTTCCCGTTTGCAATAGTTTCTTTATGTAACGGTATCTTTTTCTCAAAATCTTCCAACATAAGATCGATGCAATGTGCAACACAAGATGTCCAATAAAGCTTTTTCCTCTTCTACATCAACATTTCTCCTGCTACCTTATAATTTGCAGCATTATCCGTCACAATTTGTACCACATTTACTTTTCTAACTTCTTCAACAACATCATCTTAAAAATTTTGTCTGTTGTTTTGCACATGTCAGATGCATCAATAGACTTCAAAAACATAGTTCCTGCTGGACTATTTACCAAAAAATTAAGTATAGTTCTCCTCCTTTTATCGGTTCATCCATCAGTCATTATGGTTCATCTAGTTTTTTTTCATGTAGCTTTGTGCTCTTCTATGATGCTATTGGTCTTCTCAACTTTTGTTTTAAATATTTTACTCGAATCTCATGATAAAATGGTGGCTTAAATCTAATACCATGTTGAGCAATTCCCTCACACATCTTTCTAAATTCCTCACTCTTCACAACATTGAAAGAAATTGCATTATTGTAAAAAAATGAAGCAATTTCTAAACATGCAGCCTCTCTCAAACCTTGCTTAAAAATTGAATTAATTGTAAATTAGGTGGCCACTCCCCTTTTCTTTAAAAGAGTTGCTGGACCCTCAACATCACTATTTTTCTTTTGCCCACATTTTCAATTTCACTCACATCACCTTTTATTCCCTTTCCTTCAAGCTCTTGCTGTGTATTTGTTTTTTTTTATAAATTTTTCTTGCAATTTAACAACAATGTCCCACATTTGTTTTCGAACATCATCTGGGACAGCCATGCAAGCTCCAACATTTTGCTTTGTTCCTACCAAATGATATTTGAAACGATAAACTCCTCCAGTATATTCATTCTCACAATACTTGCATTTGATTCGTCTAGCATCTCCAAAAATAGAAATGCCATGGTTTCATGCCACATCATTTCTTGTTCCAGCAATATTGTTTGGTTTTGATCTTAAACTTTCACTTCCACCAACAATACCACTCCCTGCAGCTCCAACTCCACTTAATTGAATTCCCTTTCCTTTTCCACAACCACCAACTTCCTTCCTAATATTATCTGCCATGCAGCAATGAAGAACAAACATAGTGGGGAAATAAAAAACTGAGACTCACGCAGATCCATCCACACAAATAGAACCAGCCACACCCACAGAGAATTGGGAAACAGAACAGCAAACCAAAATAGTGAACTAGCAAACACCAATCAACACAAAACCAATAAGAAGAGCAAATCAGAACAGCATATAGTGACCAACACAAAACCAATAGCAAACCAGAACAGCAAGTACCAACCAACAACAGACACCAACAAACAGCCACCAACCACATCACCCAGGGTCACAGCACAGAAGAGAGATGATGAGAGACTGTCACAACCAATGTTGTAGATGAGGAGAGAATGGGTCGCAAGAGAAAAAAATGAGGAAATGGGTCGCAAGAGAGAAGATGAAGGAATGAGTCGTAAGGGAGAAGATGAGAGAATGGGTCGGGGTTGGGGTCGCAGACTCGCAGTCGCACGAAAGAGAGAAGATGAGAGAATGGAAAAAATTTGGGAAAAAATAACTCTACATCTATTTTAAAAAACTAGGTCAGAAAAACCCGACCCAGACGCCCAACCCATAAAAGCCCAACCCAAAATTTCAAGCCCAGAATCTGATCCAGAGAACTGCACCCAGGATCGGATTGGATCTTAGATCTTACGATCCTATGAGAAAAGATCGGGATCTCGTCTGATCTTCCACAATTGCGATCCTCATTGCGATCAAGATCGTGTTGGAGGTTTAGGATCGTAAAATTGTGCAATCCTGCAATTTTAATCGCGATTTTAACAACATTGTGCAAAACCTTTGCCCAATGAAACAAGGAAGGCTCCTAAAGAGTGGTTAGTGTATTCACGTAGGAAGAAAGGAGGGGCTGACTTGGCATGAGAGAGAGAGAGCAGTTAGAGGAAAGAGAAAGAATTATTTACGTAGCATCATGCATTAGGTGAGGGGGATTCATTCTGTATCTAGTTTCGCATTTGGGGTAGAGGAAAGCTTAGAGGTTTCTTTATTTAGGAGTTGTGCTCTGAGTAGAGAGGGATTTTCTCTTTTTGTATTTTCTGAATTTGTGATTAATACAGAATCACATACTTTTTCTTCCCCTAAATTTCTGTATCTTTTCTTATCTCTGTGGTGTGGAACTGTATTATTGATCCGACCAGCCGGATACGGTCAGATCAGTGAATGCCACCCAAAAAGGAAGAAGGAATCAGGAAACCAGTGGAAAGAGACAGCACAACAGAAATGGACGATTGGATGGGAAAGGTTAAAGAAGAACTCAAACATGTGAGAACTACAATGGAGGCGTTTCGAGTTCAAGCAGCCCAAAACAAATCTGCGATGGAAACAATGAGAAAAGAAGCGGCGGCGAACCAGTCCAAACTGTTTGAACTCATGACTCGAAGCTTTGGAAAAGGAAGTGGACCTGAAGAAGAGGAGGAAGCTTCGAACGGAGGTAAAGGGCCAGAAACTCCAAAGGTGAATAAAACTCCAGAGATCTCTGGATTTGGGACGAAGATGTTGGAGCGTAAAGCTCTTGATGAGTTTTGCCAATCAATTAAGAAAATTGAACTCCCCATGTTCAATGGAGAAGATCTTGCGGGTGGATTACTAGGGCTGAGATTTACTTAAGAGTTCAAGGGATGAGTGAGTCAGTGAAGGTGAATCTAGCTCAGCTTTGTATGGAGAGTGGGACAATTCATTTCTTCAATTTGGTATTGAAGGATTATGAGACTCTCATGTGGGAAGATATGAAGAAAGAGCTACTGGAGAGGTATGGAAGTATGGGGGAGGGAATTGTATTTGAGTAACTTACGTCGATACGACAAATGGGAAGTGTGGAAGAATACATCCAAGAGTTTGAGTGTTTGGTAGCTCAAATCCCTAAATTACACGAGCAATACTTTGCATACTTCACCCATGGATTGCAGGAGGAAATCTGGGCACACCTCTGAAGCTTGCGTGTGGTGAACCCAATGATGTGGGGAAGAATGATGAACACAGTGAGGGCGGTTGAATTGGAGATAGCTAGTCGAAATAGAGGATGGCAAGGGTGTGGGATACGCATGTTAGAGGAGGGTCCAATTCGGGTTATAAGCACATATCTAAAAAGAAAGCAAACATCATGTCAATAGACAGAGTGCAAGTCTTGAATTTATATGATAAGAACTCGATTAACTGAATCAAATGCAATTCCACATGAAGAGCCCAAAACTGGACTCAAAGATCAAGCAATAGTATTTTGCAAATACACCAGAGCAAAAGCTCCAAAACAACCAGCAATCACAGGTCCCTTACTGTGCCAATAACCCACTAACTGAAAAGCCTTCTCCATCATGCTATCCCCCTGCCATCCTATAACCTCCAAATATACTAACAAATTCTCCTAACTAACTTTTGCCACGTTGGCATTCCCATCTTCTTATGCCGTCTTTCTTTTAGTATACACCTTCCTGACCTTCGGCTTCGTGGCCAAATACTCTAAAGAGTGAAGAATTTAGAAAGATGTGTGAGGGAATTGTTTAACATAGTATTGGATTTAAGCCACCATCCTACCAGTACCATGAGATTTGGGTAAAATATTTGAAGCAAAAAGTTGAAGAGATCAATAACATCTTAAAAGAGCACAAAGCTATATGAAAAAAAATTGGATGCACCATTATGACCAATGGATGGACCAACAAAAAGAGGAGGACTATACTCAATTGTTTGGTAAATAGTCCTGTAGGAACTGTGTTTTTGAAGTCTATTGATGCATCTGACATGCAAAACAACAGACAATTTTTAAGATGATAGATGATGTTGTTGAAGAAATTGGAGAAGAAAATGTAATACAAATTGTGATAGATAATGCTGCAAATTATAAGGTAGCAGGAGAAATGTTGATGGAGAAGAGGAAAAGGCTTTATTAGACACCTTATGCTGCACATTGCATTGATCTTATGTTGGAAGATTTTGAAAAGATACCGTTACATAAAAAACCTATTGCAAACGAGAAAAAAATCACAACTTACATATATTCTAGAACTGGTCTTATACCTTTTTTGCATACCTTTACTCAAGGTACATATTTAATTAGACCTGCAGCTACACGTTTTGCAACTTCTTACTTGACTTTGTGATACTTGAATGATAATAAAGGATCATTATTAAGAATGTTTACATCTAAAAAATGGAAGGATAGTAAGTTTGCCGAAACGAAGGATGGAATAGTAGAAAATCTAGTCATAAATAAGGAGTTTTGGAAAGATATTCTGAATTGTTTAAGGGGTGCTTATCCCTTAATTAGAGTGTTGCGCTTGGTGGATTTAGAGGACAAGCCAGCCATAGGTTTCATTTATGAGGAAATGGATCGAGCTAAGGAGAAGATTCAAACAAACTTCAATGGTGTTAAAAAAAGGTATATTAGACTTTAGTTTAATTTGATAATTTATAGCTTTGGTTTGAATTTTTTTTTTTTTTTTCATTCTCTAATCTCTAGTTTCATGTCACTATAGGAGATAATTGATGAAAGATGGACAAGCAATTGCATAGACCTTTGCATGCTGCAGACTACTACCTTAACCCAATTTTGCATTATGCTCCGGATTTTGAAGTTAAGCGTGAATTATATGAGTGTGTAGAAAGAATGGTAGAAAACATGGATGAAGTGAATAAGATTGATGGTCAATTGAAGTATTTCAAAGCTAAAAAAGGATATTTTGGTACAAAATTAGCAATTACTGAAATGAAAGTGAAAACTCCAGCACAATGGTGGGAATCTTATGGTGGAGAACATCGAGAGTTACAAAAATTTGTCATTCGTGTATTGTACTTGACATGTAACTCTTGTGCACGTAATTGGAGTGCTTTTGAAATGGTAAGTTATTTCTTAAAACTACCAAATGGATTACTTTAATTATTGTGTTAAATTATTAATTAATTATGTTGATATATAGGTTCACACCAAGAAAAGAAATCGTTTAAAGCAAAAAATGATAAATAATGTTGTATATGTTATGGCAAACTCAAAATTAGGCAATAGTATCAAGAGGAGGAAAGAGCTTAACTTTGACATTGAGGATGTTGCTTGTGATGATGATTGGATTGTAGAGGAGAATGAGCTAATATCAGATATGGATTTAGATGAGAATTTGATTCAAGATGGAGAAGCAAACAGTGGTGTTGGTAGTGCAGGTACACCTATAGATGATTTGGACCTTCCACTTGCTGATGATGATGATGAGCCTAATGTAAATGATATTGATAAAGAGGACTATATAGAAGATGATTATCTTGATTGGGGCTTGCCAAATTTATTGTAATAGATTAGTACTAGTTTGACTAATTATGTGTTGTATTGGATCTAGAATCTATAACTTTTAAGTTATGTTTAATTAAATTATATGATTTAGATGTTAATTTCCTTATGTATGTTATTTTTTATGCTTATATATATATGTTTAAGTATAGTTTTATATGTTTGGTAAGATTTTACGATCTATTTTACGATCCCACAATTTACTATTTTTGACCCCCTTTTCCGATCTTAGGTAAGACCCCGATCTTGACAACATTGACTTGTGTACCTATCATCCTATCTGACAAATGCAGACATCACAAATCAAATATTCACATCATTTCTGACTAAACATACTAAGGAATAATTTGTATAGTCAGCCCACTATCAAACTTAATCAGCTAAAATGAAAGTGATCACAAAGGCAGTAAACATGAAAGGGGATACAAACTGATGGAAATATTAACTCTTTATTTATGATCTTTGGCTGACAACATATAACAAATTGTTATTTTATCATGCATTTTTATTCTGATCTTTAACATGCTCAATAACAATTGGTGCAGGCGGTGCTCAATCATGCCGGTTATACCCCCGAGGTCAGCCATAGGGTTTTGGTTGAAATGGCTGAGCATAGAAAGGAGCTGGAAAAGAAAACCAAGCCCATCCTTGACACTCTAAGGAGCTACCAAGATTTGCCTCCGGTATTTCATGTTTTCATGTGTTGTGTTTGTTATATAATTCAGGACTATTGGTAAACTATGTTGTGTTTATTCTTAGGGATTGTCTACTGAACTATTTTCCATTTTCATTTTCAATGAAAATAGAAAATAACAAAGAAAACATGTCTGGTTAGTTGTTTTCATTTCCAGTTTTAGAAAATGAATTTATCATTTTTGAAAATACTGAAAACAAATAGTTGTTTTTTCTATTTTCTCTAATCAAGCTAGCATTTTTGAGATTTTTACCACTCAGTATCAGCCCCAACTAGTCAACTATGTTCTCCCTCTCTCTCCCCACTCATGTAGTATATCCCTAATTCCATATGGAAATGTTTTATGATGATGAAAGAAGGAAGGCAAACTCACAAATCTTCCGACAATGGTTTATAAGTATGCACCACTGCCTAGCTTGTCATTATTGCACCACATCATCTTTCAGAAAATATGGTAATAGCAAATTGATAGTTCTATCATCCTCCCGCCTATTGGTGGCTTCCTTATGTACTCATGTATGGCTACAAGGTATTGACCAGTATAGATAAACTTCTCCATAAGTACTTGTAAAGGAAGATAATAAGGGTAAAATGAATTAACTTTTTTTCATTAGTTAAAATCAACTTATGCACATTAGCTTTTGGAGAAGTTAGATGAAAAAGTTTTTAAAGAGGTTGATGACTTGATGTACATAAGTTAAAATTGGCTTATGGGAGAAGTGTAATTTATTCTTAGTTCATATTTTCTTGTTCTTCAAGTACTTATGGAGAGGATAATCCAAACTGGCTCAATACCTTGTATTTCTGTTTGGGGACCTATAATAATTCCCTCTCTTCATTAAACCGTCCACAAAATTGAAATGACCTTGATCCTGAATTTTCCATGGTTTTGTTTTTAACAGTGTTTTAGATTCAATTGTTTCTGCACAGCACATGCCATTGGTTTGGTAATAGCTGTCTAGAGTCGACTTTAATTTGCAAAACTGAATACATAATATAAGCTAGAATAATTGGGGAAAAGGTAAGGGTAAGAGAAAAAGGAAAAAAAAAAATGAACATACAGATGTGCTTTCAAATTTTGAAAAACTGAAATTGAAAATAGAGAAAAAAAAAAAAGATGAAAATGTTTTTACAATCCAAACAGCCATGTTTTTACAAACCAAACAGCCCCTTATATTTCTGCTGGTTGGTATTGTCCAGGATAAAGCCTTGGCTGCTTTAGCAATTGAGGATAAGAAAAGGCAGTATGCTGCTGCTGAGAAGTATCTTGAAGATGTTTTGCAGTCAGCTCTTGCCAATTCTGGGTGATATGGTACTACAATTTTTAAAGCTTTTTATTTTTTATTTTTTTTAATTTGATTGCTTTTAACAGTCTATTTTTTGACTGGATAAAGATGTATATGAACAAGTGTGTTTCTTAGGTTGGCTTTGCTGGGTTAGAAACAGATTAGGTGCACTTGTATTTTAAACTGTTCATGATGTAGTCATCATCCAATTATCAAGACAAAAAACGTGGCATATAATTATGTCATATTTTATCTTAATATCAAAATTTTGAATGCCGATGATCATTTGCAGATTTGAAAAAACTACAATTCAGTGGATCATGTTCTTTGCTAGTATGTAAAAATTATTTGCTTTTTTGGTTCTGGTCTATAATACGATTTATTAGTACCATATCAGGGTTACTCATAATAATGATTATGATGATGAATGATGATTGGTAATAGTAATAGTAGTCCTTAGATTGCAAGAGCCTTAAGTCCCGAAGAGTGTTGAACTCATTTTGGAGAGAGGACATTGTATCTGGTGCTGTTCATCTAGGACGTGATTAGATCTAATTTAGGATATGTTTGTAGCTTGTAGCTTATTTAGGAACTTGGAAGTTTATTGACTTTTGTAGAGCTGTTTCGTAAATAAAAAAATGAAAAGAATTTGTAATTTTTGAAAGTTGGCTTTTCAAAAGCCATCTAAAGAAGCGTTTAGATTTCAAAAACTAGCTACCAATATTTCTATTATATTTTTATTTTTCATATTTTTTTTTTTGAAAAAGACAACTTACTGATTACATAATTAAAATTTATGTACATATGTTAATTTCATTGCCTTTTTGTTGTCTACACTTTCAAGATAAGCCCATTCCTTTATTTATTTATTTTTTCTATTTTTTTATCTGTTTCCTTGTCTCTTCTATCCAAATGTATTTTATATTAAAAAAAAATATGACAAAATATTTTATGTTCAAACATATATGAAGAGAAATTTTATTTTTTATATAATTATTTAATTAATTGATTGATAGTAAATAAATAAAATAAGTGATATCTAATTTTAATATTATATTAATATAATATTATATGTCTGTTTAAGTCATTTAACACAAACCAGTTAGTTGCACAACTTGTTTGTTAAAACAATTTTAATTCTGTAAGTTACTTAGCTTTCAAATAGCTTAAGAGTTAGAAGTTACAAGCTCACTACTTTTAACTCGTTTTACCGAAGATAGCCTTGAAGTGTTGGACTTCCATTGAAGGGCAATATCTACAAGATTCGTTAATGGCATCTGGAGGAGTGGGAAAGGGGAGAAGATAAATGGTGGGACGAGAGATAAATATAAAAGAAAGAAAAATAGAAAATGGCAAAGTGGGTAGCATGAGTCTTTGGAAATTTTCTTAACATTAATAGATTTCTGAGTCAGTGCAATAGTTCCCGTAAGTCTCTGAAGAAAAATGGGTTATTCCCTTGGTGGAACCCGTTATCATATCTGTTTCATGGATTTCAAAATATTCTCACTAGGAGGATTCATTCTTGCATAATGAAGTTTGTTTGATTTATCCTATGAGTCTTTTGGTTAGATGACTTCCAATATGTTGGACTCAAATAATATAGATGAATTACTGATTTTACTTAATTGGGACCTTTTTTCTTTATATAAAGGTGTTGAGTATATCTGAGAGCCTTGCTTTGCTATTTTAACTTTTGTGAGTAATTTTTGCTGTCACACGGCTGCTCTGTATTCTCACCTCTTTTGTTTTTTTTGGTAAAGGTTCTCATTTCAAATTTACAGTTGCTTGTACGTGAACTTCAATGCTCATAATGTTTGATCACTTATGACCGTATGAAGTTCTAATGGCAGCATTTATTTAAACTGAGTTGAAGATCGTTCCATTTAAAATTGATACGGTGATACCCATACAATGGCTGTGATATTTATTTGCAATTCATTCGGGGGTCCCTCTTATCTAGTTTCTTATTAACTTGTACACTTATGTTGCCAAGCAACATGGATGGACTAACTAATTATCTTGAGTTGTTAATGTGCAGTATGTGATGCCCACCAATTTAAGTTGGTGGGGGGTTATTTTAGGTTCTGCCTATATAATAGCCTTTTTATTATGGATGTCAATCAAAGGGGTTGGTGGAGGGCTATTCTGCCTTGTAAAATATGTTACCCCCTGAAGAAACTTATTGGTCATCTTATTGTATTGTTGGGTGCTTGTGTGGGTCGTAGACTTCACAGTAGAAGTGAAGTGCTTGACTTAATCCTTTACTTCTTTAACACAACCACCCTCCCCCCTCACCCCTCACCTCCTCAAATGTTTTAGGACAAGGTGACTTTTATCATGATGGGGGATTTGTATTGTATTTTTTTGTGTCTTTGGTGTCTATGTTTGAGATTTTGTAGTTTTAGGTAGTAGATAGAGTAGAGGTACAATAACCGAAGTGCAAAATATCCTTAATGGTTGCTCTGGTTGAGGGAGTGGAGCAAATGGAGAAATTTGTTTTACTTTTAATTACAAAATTGTAACTCTGTCCTTATTTTGTTTCTTGTTTTCAAATATTTATACTGAAAACAATGATAATTATGTGACACCCTCCTTTCCTTTTTGTTTCCTAATTAGCCCTCACGTACTTGTTTCCGAAGTCGATTCCTTCATTAACATGAATTAACCACCCTGTCCAAAGATAACCACATCGATCACTTCAAGGGTGAAATCAATTCAACGTGACGTCGTTAAATCAATTTACCAGACGGAGAATATATAGTGATGTTTATCCCCATGAGGTTTCTTGACCTATCTAAGTGGGCCCTCCATTGTTTCTGGGATTAATTGGTGCATCAGTCTAATAATGACATTAACCTAAGTAATTGGGTTAAGCTAAATTGAAGGGCAGGGTTTTGGAGCAAGTTTAAAAACACAATCTTCGAGTAAGTGGACCTTTTTCTTGTTTATTTTTTAATATTGAACAAATTGATCAAACTAACAATAATTTTCAGCTGATTTCCTAACCTAGATTTTAAATACATCTGAATTAAAACAACCCTGTATTAAAACATTGAAAGATTTTTTATTTGGTAAATTTCTGAAATTGGTATTGTAATTATGGATAAACACAGCACTCTCTGATAAGGGGGTTAAGAAACAGGTGGAAAATGCTTAAGGGCTGTTTGATAGACCGCTGAAATTGCTACTCTAATCATTTTCACACTCTATTTTTGGTTTTTAGAAAATTGATTTTCATTCTAATTTTGAAAATTTCGAAAATGTATGTGTTGCATTTTTATTTTCCCTTTTTCTTACTCATCCCTATTTGCTCTGAACCATGTGTCCTGAACAACAAACACATCACTGTAAACTCATGTATAATCACCACACACCATTGAGCAACAAGGTGTTAATTTTGTCTTTGGTGACGTTGAGCTCGAACCTTCTCTTGTCAAGTCCCAGTCAATCTTCATAGGATGTTTCAAACTGGCCCTTGGTCTGTTAGCCTGTGAACTACGTATCGAGCCTGGGAACTCATAGCACCCTGCTAGAAGAAAGCACCTTGTTAGAGAAAGCGTACCTCGTTTTATCCAATTTTAGAAAATTAGATAAAACTAGGTTTAACCTCTTCATCCCGTTTTATGACGTAATTAAAAGACCCAACCTCCTCAGCCCTCACCTTGGGCAGGGAACGAACCACCGGTTAACAATCAAGACCGTTGGCCCAATAAGCTTTTTGCCTGAGGTACTAAAAAATGATATTTAAAATATAGGAAAATGTATTCAGTTTCATAGGCCTACAACAGGAAAGTTTACTTGTTAAAAATTACATTAATTATATGGATCAAATAACATCATAAGATTTTAATGCGAATACGATAAATGACCAATACTTTTTTTTTAATGGTTTTGCTTTTAACTTAGTCTTTTTCTTTTTACCTCTAGCCATAAAGCTATTTTCTATTTGCATCATTTTTCTAATTGAGGCTTTGATAAATTTTCTCTACACGTATACACTATTTAAGTAAGAGTTTATCACTTAACTAATACTATGGTGTGGGATAAAATGTTTCAAATTTCTTGTGAAAGTGGAAGCATTAGTGAGAAATATTAGCGACCTATTATTTGATATACTAGGTTAGGGTAGTGAAAATCATGACACTAGTTGAATAATGTAGGCTGTGTCTAAGTATATGAGTGTGAACATGTACGTTAGTATCTTTTTCTTTATATACGGTAAGTATTAAACATCACTGAGTGTCAAATTTAGTAAAATGATATTTTTAATAATTTTTTAATTAAAAGTAAATTTTATTACTTTAATTGTTTAATTTTAAGTTCTTATAAAGGAGATTGAGTTCACAAATATTAATATAATTTAAATAGTTAATGATATTTCATTTTTCTATTGTATTTTAAGATATGGTATTTTTGTTAAAGCAAGTTTAAAAGGGAGGTTGAATTGGATTTTAATAATTAAAAATAATTTTTAATTATACATAAATTTTATTTTTTTAATAATTATGTTCAAGAATTTTGACATCATTTGTAAAATAATTAAAAAAATAAATAAATCAAAGAAATTAAGACAAGACTTGACAAATTGTAAAAAGATTATATATGTTTAAACATAAAAAAAAATATAAAATAGAGATAGTATATATACAAAATGGAAGTATTTTAACACTGAAGTAGCACTAATAACAAGAAAAGTAAAATTTCACTAGTTTAGAAGAGGCAAAATCACGTTTCATACTTTTTTTTCTTTTAATTGTACCAAAATTAAAGTTATTAAAATCAAGATACTATCTAGAATTTAAGGGGAGGAAAACACATAAATCATAAGATTGTAACACAAATCACAAATCTTACTTAATAAATAAATTTAACCACATATATATGTAGAAAAAAAAAGAAAAATTAAAAAATAATATTAAATTTATATATGACGATTGCAACTTAATAATTTTAAACATTAAAGATAATAAATAAGTTTCTATATCAATAACATATAAAACTCAACTAATATAAATAAACAACTAGTCTAACATTTCTACTCTCTATTTTAACAAATTATTTAAGTTTTGATCCTAATAATCACTTTCCACTTCCTCCTCCTCCTCCTCCTCCTTCTATCAAAGTTATGATACAAAGTAAGAACCTTCAAATAATCTAAATTGATAAGATTACCGTTATTATTAGCATTATCTGATTGATCTCTAACTTGGTCCAAGTCTTTGTTTGGATTCAACTCCAAGTTCGTAAGTCATCCACTTGATGCATTAGATGAACTTTCATTATCCATAATTCATTCATCATCAGATAAAAAATCATCAAGATTAAACGTTGTAGTTTTTCTAAATATCTTTTTCTTGACCAAGTTTGAATTAACCATCACATAAACAACACCATTAAGTGCAAGTAATAGGTAAAGAATGGACAACAATTTCTTATAGTTTTAAAATTATACTAACTCAAAAGCACTTTAATTATTGAGCGAAACTACATGTCAAGCTCAATATATGAATAACAAAGCTTTAAAGCTTTGGATTTCATCTCCATAAAAATTCCACAATTGTGCTAAAGTTTTGATGTTAGTTTTAATTGCATCTAGGACTGCCTTGTTGCTAAAGAACTTTGCCTTAAAATCTTCAAGTTGAGCATCAATCTTTAGTAGTTTTTTCATTACTTTACATCATCGTTTCTATACAATCAAATAATTTACATTTTACTTCAAAATTAGCCTTAAAACCAAAACTGTAGTATTAAATAGGGTTGAGATAATAGGTTGCAACTTGCAATGGCCTATGAAGTTTATTGTTCCATTGTTCATCAATGACATTCCATTGAGGGAGATAACTAATAGTTGAAAAAAATAAAATTAATTTTCAAACAAAGATAAACATGATTTTAAATTCATCTTAATAATTTTTTTAAAACTTCTTTTACTACTATCGAAGGCTTTTATCTTGGTCCATTTTCTCATAAATGAACTCCATAATTGGTATCTCAACTAAATCAACCAAATGCATAATTTTGATTAGATGATAAGTACCTTTAAGCAAATTACAACACCTTTCCAAAATTTTTTATTCATAATCACATCTTCAATCTTATCTTCCATTGAATAGATGTGAATAGTCTAATCGATTCTCCCTTATACTCTTGAAGACATCTCAAAATAAGGTAAGACATGGCTAAGTGAGTGATGACTAGTCTCACTAAATCTTTTCATTTTATTATTAATAATAAAGAAATTAAGAAAATATTTAAGTAAATGTAAGCAACAATTTTTTTTCTCCATTAAGATTGTCTCCTACTAAATGGATAACTTCTTTTCTAGATCCTCCAATATCAAATCTTGTAGAAAGCAACACACGATTTTCAATACAATCTCTTCCTTTTCTCCATCAATAATTCACCTTTATTGTATTGTATGTGATAATTTAGACTATGTTATCTTTACCATAGTAATTTGTTTCGTAGTAGTTTGTTTTTCTGAAGAAATAAATTTTTAAAAATAATTATGAGCAATTTTATAACAGTGATGTATAAATTATTCTTTCATTCGCATATTATAAATTTAAACGCATAAACTTTTTTACACTTTTACCAAAAAATAAAATAAACAAATTTTAAAATCAAATTTCAAATGAATAACTTCAATCATAAGTTCACTTGCACTTTTTATTTTTTTAACTTTAATTCACATAACTATTTATAACAACAATGTCTAAACTACTATTTCATTTATACATTATAAAATTGTAATGGTATTAGTTTAATTACATTATCATAGTTGGTGCAATGTAAATTATCTTTCTTTTTATTTATTTTTTTAAATTAAAATTATCTTAAATAAAAAAAATTTTGTCTAATGCCTTATAATAATGCATAGATTATTTTATCTGAATACGTGTTAAACAGTTAGATACATAATAATTTTTATCAATTTTATAAATAAAAAATATTATAAAAGTAAAATTCAAATGAAAAATCTTCAATTATAATTTTTTAATATTTTATTTTTTAAAATAAATAAATTAAATTTTATATAATTTAAAAGGTAATATAACATACTATTTAAAATAAAGATAAGTTTTTATTATTATATTAGATACTTGCAAATGTGTTAATTATATAAAATGTTTAATATTTATTAAGATAGTATATTATGATTAAATTGTTAGATCGGTAAAGTTCAATATTCATAAAAAAAAAATGAGATTGTCAATTAACCTGCGTTTTGTGGGTAAGGATTCTAACACAAAAAAAAGAAATATGGCCCTCTATCATGGATAGGAAAAAAGGAAAAGGAAATGAAATTAAATAGTTATAATTGAATATCGATATGAGATGAGGTATTAGAAAAAAAAATATGAATGCATAAGGAAATTTTTTTATCCACGTACATTTTTTTTTGTCTGATCCACAGCTGTCAAATCGTTCGATTCTCTCTCCTTTTTGATCGAGTTGGCAACTCTTTCTGTGCCTACTTTACCAACAACTTGGACAGGATGATATGAAAATTGGGCAAATTGCGTTTGGTCTTTTTATATTTGATGTTTACGCTACCTTTGATATTGTTTCTGAAGCAGAGAAATTACAAAATAGTTTCAAGGATTACATGGTAAATCTGGGTCTGTAAGCTTAAGAAGCACAAGGCTCACTTTTTGGAAGGATCCCCTACTTCTAGTTCTCTTTCTCTTTTCATATCTTATCTTGGCTTGTTCTCCAAGTAGCAGAGGTCTCCACCAAGTAGAGTGACGTTTAACTTGTATCTTCCCTCCTGACACTATGCCCATTTCGGGTTCTATCTTCCCTTCCACTTCAATGCTTCCTTTTCCGGGAGCACCATTGCTGGAAGTGGCTTGAAGGGACATCGCTTCTCTCTCCAAGACTCCTCACTTCTCATTCCTTTCACCTTGGAGCTGCTTCCCGTTCCGTCTAATACGACATGAATTCCGTTAATAGTTTTATTCAGCGGTTAGCGATATCGCTTATCGAAGACCACCTCCCCTTGCCTTAGTCTACTTAGGCACTCTGTTTATCTTCTCTGAGTGTCTTCTATTTTTGTTCCCCAGCTCCCCAAGCACTCATTAACAGCATATTCTTTATTTATTTTCTGGGTTACCTTTTTTTCTTTTTCCCTATTTTACCCTCACCTTATTATTCAGTTCCCAACAGATCTTTTCCTTGTTTTTGATTTCCTTTTGGATTAATTTATGATATCATATATGATTTTTAAAATGTAGTAAATATATAGTCGTAAAAACTTCGATCGATGGTGTAAACGAATTGACGAATTTGTTTGCATGTACTGTCAATGACTTAGGTACTCAAGTTTACAGTTGATGTATTTAAATATATTTTTTCAGGGATAAATATTGACTTTATTATACACATAAAGGTACGCTATAACTGGGAACCATACAATTTTATACATGATATATCTTGACTTTAGTATTCAAAATTGGAAAGTATTTACCCAATTTCTCAAAATCATGACTCCACGTTAGTTTAGGGATGAGCCATTTTTTACAGGCAATTCATATGCGATGAATTAAAAATAATAGATTACCCAACCAATTTCTGTTCAGTTACTTCTTCCAAAACAATGGCATGTTTCGTATAAAATAATTTTTTAAGAAATAATTGCTTTTTTATGTTTAGAAAGTTAACAAAGATAAGTAAGTAATTTTAAGTAAAATTATAACTCAAGAGTCCCTATACTTGATACTATTTATTTTGATCTTTACATAAGAAAATTCTATACTTTGATCCTTACATGAAAAATTGTTTACAGATCAGTACCTACCTTTTATTGAAATTATAAATATTAGAGTATTTCATATGTAGAGATCAAAATGAAAATGGGTGTCAAGTAAAGGACAATTATAAATTGTTATCTTCAAGGATTTTCATCACTATGTCTAGAACACGTTTGTATAAGTTTTATTTTCAAAATAGTTTTTTTTTAATAAAGAATTTAGAAAGTGACAAAAGGTATTTTAACTTCTGTAACTGGAAATTATCAATTAAAGTTAATTGATTCTAAACAAATTTTAAACCACAAAATTGAAAAAATATGAATAAACTCACGTTTCAATTCCAAGTTTATATAATTATTTCTGGAATAACTAATTTCGCCTTTCAAACCACTTCATTTCCTCCAGTCTCCTTATTAAAGAGGAGGAATACATTGGTCACATTAAATTGCATCCAAAAACTCTCCAAATTAATTATGTAATCAAAATATGCTGTGTCAAATTCGTACCACAAGGTTACAGACCCAGTTTATCTGCCAACAACAGGTGTGGCAAATAAACTCGCCAAATAAATAAATACCCCTCAATAAATAGTATTTCTTTCTCCATGTATTGAGTAAAGCTACCAACTTGTTAGTATTTCTTTCTCCATGAAGTCCACTTGAGTTTAAGCTGGTACCACAAAGGTGGTATTCCCAGCACCCCTCGTGTTAGCCTCGGATCAAACACGTCAAATTGCACCTTGCTTAGGGAATCTAAGAGAACCTGAGCAGGCACTGCTGGCAGGAGCACGGGAAGAGCCTCAGCAGGCACGCTTTCAGCTAACTTACGAGCCTTTTGTAAGTGAGCATTGGCTACTGATGCCATTTCATAAACTGCATCACAAAGGCCCTCACGAGAATCCACCCATCTCTCTTCTCCACCCTCCTGTTTAACTATTAGTCCATGTTTGGATGCTATTCCAGTTGGTATGTAAGAAAAATGACGGTTGCGCCCAGCATGATAGGGTAGTGATTTAAGGAGCAAAAGAATACCACTAGCCTTGCCAACATGTGAGGCTGCATGATCAGCTGCAGTAGACATGATACCACCAGCTTGAAGTGTCATATACAGCATAGTTGAAACAGTGTCCTCGGCATATTTCTCTAACTCTGCAGTAGTTGCTGGCATGTCAGTAGCCTCTCTTCTTGCATCATTGATCCGAGCCTCAACCGATCGTTTCAACCATATCTTGCTAATTTTGGTCTCAGCTATCACAGATGACAGTGCCTGTGCTGTTGGGTGTTCAATCAATCTGTTGGCAAACATTTTGTCTATTGCTTCCTGCCACCAAACCAGGCGCATAAGACCAATCCTAGGATCTGAAGCAACATCCATAGCTCTGGCTGTTTCAACATTCAAGGCACGGAGGGCAAATGCAGCCTTCCGCATAGACGGAGGCAGTTCAAGAAGGCAAAGATAGTGATGATAATCATAACTTCGCACTTGTTGTACGCAATGGGAGAAAGCTGCCCTTAAGTTACTAGATGCATAACCACTATTCATTAAATCCTCCCTTGGGTGCCTATAGATGAAAGTTACATCAATCACAATACTATCAAACAAGTTAAAGTAAAAGTTGCAACATAGAAATCAGTATGAAGGCATACACAAATATTATGTAGACGCACAGGCATTACTTCATATAAGTTAAAAGTTACTTTAGGATAGGTTTATGTCCCTTCAAAACTGTAACCTATATATATTTAATCCTACAGATATGTTTAGAGTGAATATCCTACTCTGAAACTAATGAACAAAATAATTCTGAGACTATCATTTGTGATGTTAACCCTCCAATTCTCTTTCTAAGCTTCATCAAAACTCAAAAGCCTTAAGCATATGTCATATCTATTAAGATGTCATACGTTGGTTATGAATTGAGTCAGAATACTCTTTATAAGAGATCGCGCAGTCTTTCTCTTATGAGCTAACTTTTGGAAGTAAGTTATACTCAAGTTTCTTAATATGGTCAGATCCTATCCAGTCCTGTTGGGCCACCCACAGATTCTAGTCCTGCAAATTTCACATACTGGATGTCCAGTCTTGGGCATAAGAGGTGTGTGTTAAGATGTCTCACATTAAATAGCTATAGAGTCAAAATAATCCTTATAAAGACATATGTAGTCCTTCTCTTATGAGCTAACTTTTAGAAATGAGTTCAGCTCAAGCTTCTTAACAATATCATGCATTGGGCAACCTGTTTGTGTGCAACCACCCTTTAAGAAAAGATATACAACAACAACAATCAAGCTTTCATATGCTTGAATCTATTATATGCTAAAGTGGGGGGGAAAAAGGCTCAGCAATACAGTGATGTCTTCATTATTTATCATCCAGGTAATTTAACAAGTCAAATAATTTCTTATCTGGGTCCGTGAGTCATGCGTGCTGAATCACCTATTTCTTTTAGTACCAAAATCAAGCAGCTAGAGCTGAGATTTGATATAATATATTGATTTATACCTACATCAATCTAAGCACTTTCATGATATGGCAAAGATTCTGATCACATTATATTGATATTGCAGTATGTTGATGCAAGAAGATTTGAAACAAAAACAGGTATTGTTTTCTTGCCATGCAATTGAATATAAACTTGACCTTAGATACTAAGTAAAAAAGTATAATATCCATGAATTTGCATTGTCGGTTGACCTTTTGTGCTTATGCAGTTATGTTCAGACAAGGTAAATTTGCATCATTTTAATTCCTTTGCTTGACACTTTTGTATTCTCCAGTTGTATTTTATATGCCCATTTTCTAGGTGTAACTGTATTCTGCTCTGAATTATCTTTACCAGAAAAATCATAAAACAGGACTATGTTCACAAAACAATGACCTAATATATACTATAGCTTCCTAGAATTTGATTTCATCAAAATAAGGAATACTCTGGGATTCACAAAAAGAGAAGCATATGAAATAGACACTACCAAGGTTTGAAGGATAGAGAATCCCGATGTTAGCCTCCTTCCTCTCAAATCATTGTTTCAGCTACCGCACATAAGTATGTTGAGATGTCAGGGTCAGGCCCTACCGTCACTAATGTACCACCCATATTTTAACATAGAAATAACACAAAAGTTATACATAGAATCAGCACAAAAGCAAACTTTGCTATCCTCATCATAGATAATAAAAAAACCAACATTAGCTAAGGACCAATGTTGCATGGATACGGGTACTGTACCGGTACCGGGTACGGATACGGGTACGGGTACAGGATACGACATTTTTAAAAAAATTAAGATACGGGTACGTCAATTAAAAAAATATAAAAAATTATATATAAAATAAAAGCACACAAATTTTAACATATCATATATTATATAACATAAAAAAGGCATATATTTGTCCACAAAGATAATAAAACATCTTACAATACAAATTACAATACTTAAATTGTTCAACATGACATGACAATACTAAAACATAATTAAGAAAATCAAACTTTAACAGTGTCAATTTCATTATTTCCTTCCCCATCATCAGTAAAAATAACTGCCTCTAGATCTGGTTCATCAAGAGAAAGGGTTGATTTTGGGCCTAAATAAAACATAACAAACTTTTCTTATTTTTTGCAAAAAAATTCTCATTTCCCGTACCCCATTAACGTACCCGAGTACCCGTCGACGTACCCATTATTTTTTGTTTGCAAAAGTGTTTGGGTACGTACCGGGTACGTACCCAGCCGTATCCTATGCGTACCCGTACCCAGTATGTACCCGGTACCGGTACGTTGCAAAAATTGGAGTACCCATGCTTCAGAGCTAAGGACTTAAGGTATCAAAACCTCAAGCGTCCTTCCTTTATAGAGAAAACAAAGAAAACTCAATTTCAAATTTTCAATGTTTCAACCTGTAGAGTCTTTAAAATCTGAAACCATTAGTAAGGAAGGGGGTTGAGTTTGAAAACACATTAGGAATTCTAGCAGAAATAAGAAAAACTAATTGGTTCTTGCCATGCTCACCACAGAAAATACCCAGTTGGCAGGTTTAAACTAGACTTTTTCTTATTAATAGAAAATATATCCTAGGACAATTGCACATGGTCCAATACCTTATAAGAGAATTTAGATCGTACATCCTATCATTTGCAGTTTTGCACACATCATGGAAACACCTGTTCTCATAGGTATTTATATCATCAAAGTTTATTCACCACGATGTCCACAAGCCTACCAGCTATCATCATTTACCAAGTTTCTTTAAAAATTATTTGATTAATCCTAATGGTATGACATCGCATCAAAATAGAAGTATATTTACAAGAAATGCTTTATACTATAGGGGAATAACAACGATTAAGTTAGAATAATCAATACATAACACTTTCCCAATAAGTAAGCAATTCATCAAACAGGTAATACGCAGATTTTGTGTGCTATTTAGTTACAAAAATAGGAATAGAAACATAAAATTCCCAATCACTTACAATCACAAACAGCACCATCCACCACTATGAATCATGTAGAAAATCACTACCCAATAATTCCACTACTAAAAACCCATCAAGTTCACCCCACATTCACAATAATCAGCTAGTCACCGACCGACCCACAAAAATCCCAAAACACAATACTTGAGCTATTTGAATAGAAAAATACGAACCACTGTGTCAGTAGGTTAGTAGTATCTTTTATGCAGAAAGGCACTTGAAAACTGAACAGTTAAGTTAACAGAAAATCAGAACCTTACACGTGGCAAAACATCAAAACGTCGAACTGGCATTTCTACAAACAGTTAGCGTGTCAAAACTATAAGATCACGATTTCTAGGAATCAGAAAATTCAAAATCAATTCAGAAATCATAGGCCAACATGAAGAAAATGTTAAAAGGATAATGAAGCTACCTGATAGAGACGGAAACGACGGTGGAGGTGGCGGAGGGTGCGGTGGCGATGGTGATGACGACAATCCCAACGTTCTTCAACCTTCAAAACCTAGCAATGTTCTTCAACGCTACTCGAAGGAGCCATTTCCAGACCCAATCGGGGTGCATCACTGGGGGCATGAGTTGTAATTTTTGAATTTTACGAGGGTATTCTTGTCAAAAATAGTTGTCATACAATGTTTTATTTAATTAATCACCTTTTTTTTGCTAATATTTAATTAATCACCTTATTTATATTACTTTTATTTATATATATAAAATTCTTAAGATAATCAATTTTTTCATCATTTTTTTAAATTTGATTATATATCACCATATTTATATTTATTTTATAAATTTTTAATCAATATTTTAATAATTATTAAAGATTAATAAATAATATTCTTAATTAAAAATCATAAAATGAATATATCCTTCAATAAAATATATTTATATCATTATTTCTTAACTATATGTATTAAAAATGCATTTTAAATTATTCTTATTTTATTTAATAAATTTTGCATGCATGCTTAAATTTAACACTAGTATAGAATTACAGTATCAACTAGTAACAGTCTTAAAAAAAATAACTTAGGTGAAATGTAAGGTCAAAATCAATTCATGCATATTTTAGTATCGTTATTTTATATAAATATATAAAATAAATTATTTTTTGTTTTTAAAAATAGAAATACTAATAATATATTTCAATAAATTTTAGACAATAATATAAAATGTGTTAGAGAAAATTTGTCATTAGCATTTTTTTTAAAAAAAAAAAAATTGAGTTTAAAAGTATCATAGAAAGGTCAAAATCTTACCAGCAAAAGGAAATTGAGTTAAAAATGAGAAAAAAAAAGTAAAATTATTGTAATATATATATATATATATATATATATATATATATTAATTATTAAAGATTAGTTAGTTTTTTAAAGGTCAAAACACTGATATTGTAAATTGAATATATATATATATATATATATATATATATATATATATTAAAAAGCTATTCTAACATTTTAAAAAACTTTTACCTTTAGACAAAGTATATATGTTAGGAATAGTAAAAAGAAGTATTTAAAAAGACGAAACTTATATGAAGTATTTTTTTAAATGCTACTCTAAATATTTCTTTTTTAAATTTCAACTTCTAATTGAAAGTGCTTATTTTCATTATTATCCCTGATATTTTATACATTTCCTCATTTATTCTAAACCCAAAATATTCAATCTTTATTAATAAAATTTTAAATTATAAAGAAACAATAATTAATTTTTTAATAAAAATATTGATTAAAATTTTATTTATGCTAAATTAAAAATTAATTTAAAAATAAAAAAATGTCTTTAATTTAGTTTTAATTTTTTTTTATTAAAAAGGTAGGAAACACATTACAAAAAATTTACAACAAATAAATGTCACAATACTTATTGCTTGTGAAAATAATATATTACTAATCTCTTAAAGAGACTTTAAAAAATCATTTAATTTTACTTTTTTCTATTATAAACTTATCAAAATAATAATTTAAATTTAATTGTAATTTTAATTATATTTTTAATTTCTATAAAAATAATTTTTTAAAATTAATTAGTTTTCATAATAAAATTTGTTAAAATTTAATTATTAATATTTTAAAAATATTTAGAATTAGTTTATGTCGTCAACTATTCTCTATTTAATGAGGTAGATAATAGAAGTTTAAGTTATCTTTATCAAATTATTATTATTTTCAATATTTTATTATTTAAAAATTAATATTTATAAAAAAATCTTAAAAGAGTTATATTACTTTAAAAATTAATAAATAGTCCATGAAAAGACTTTCTCTCGGTCAAATAGAAAATAAATTAAAACATCTTTGTACCTTAATGTACCTTTCTTAATTCCTTAAAATTTGTCAATTGAAAAGTTAATACTTAAAAGCAGCACTCTTGAGAGACTATCACAAGATCATCCAATAACAATATTTAAAAATCAATTAACACAAATCCCAATCTCATTGTTGAAGATGAATTGTAATAAATTTGGCCACATATAACCCTAAAAGTTTATTTTCAATGTGATATAGATTGGAAAACAAAAGAAATATGGGAAGAGAAAAATATATATGAATAAAATAAAGAGAAGATTGAAAACAATTTGAGATAATAATTTTCTCAAGAAAAAATTGAAAGAATAAAAGTAAATTTTAACTTAAAATTATAAAATAACTGTAAATTTAAAAAGAAGAAGAAGCTAAAGTGACTACTTTTTAAATACAAAAGAACTACTAAACTAGTACTTATTATTAGTTAACTAAAGGTAAACAACTTAAAAATGGTATGAAATACCTTTAGTCAAAACAATAAAAAAAGAAAAGAAAAGAAAAAGGTGATTACATTTTATGCAATCAATAAAAAAAATTAAAAAAATGGGGAACAGATACACAAACTAGCACAAAATAAATAATACAACATGAACATGTGATGTGGAAATGGATAGAACTTACTAATTCACACAATGGGTTAGCATCATAAATGCATCTTCTCCCATTGAATCAACCAACTTCCAAGAAGAGAGAAGAGATCAGAGATAAATCAAACAATCCCAAACCAATACTCTCACTTGCCAAAGTAGTGGTCAACATTCTTGAGGGACCACATGCTCATCTGTCATGCTTTGGTAGATTATATGTACATTGATGAACCCATCATATGATCACTATGCTTTTACGTTTGTTCTTATTGGGTTTTCAAACTTACAGGCTAAGTTTGGCAGATCTATTCATGGGTGTGTGAAAGTCTTTCAAGGTTTACAACCAATTGTATGGCCAATCAATGTTGTGAACACTTTCTAAGCTTTTCGTGGCCAAATTTGACACCACCATAGACTTTGACTTGAGACAGTTGACTTTTGTAATGGTGCTAACTACATACCAGAAGTAGACGGTGTAAACGCCATTTCTTTACATTAATTATATCCAACGCATTTACAGTTATTTTTAAAATTTTAATATGGTAAAATAAATATAAAATAATGACTATAAAAGTTAATTTCAATTTTTTTTATATAAGGTTCCGTCACCAGATGTTTGGTTTCAATCACATATATCTTTCATTAAAAAAAATATTTATGTTGAAGCAAATTAACTCTTTTAACAATTTCTTTTATACACAACTCAAATTCAAAATATTATTTAAAAAATAATAAAAATGTGCTATTTGAGCCAACTATCCACTGATGATACCAGTAAAAAATATTTACTGAGCAAAATTTATTTAAAATTACACATTATACAAATTTATAGGATTTACGTCAAGAGAGGGTGGAAAGGACACTTAAGAATGAGAAATAGGTGACAAGATTATCGGAGATGAAATCAACACTGGTTATGATGTTACTATGCAATTTATTATTACGTGTGCTGTGTCAAAGCGAGCATTCATATGTTTTCACAAGTAAATCCTTATGAAAATATTATTACTTTTTAAAACTAATTTTAATTATCTAATAATAATAACTTTTTATTAAAAATAAACACATTTATTATTATGTGTATGTTTTTAATACTATAAATATTTCTAAATAAATTAAAAAATAATTTTGACAGCGAAAGTAGACTTAAGAGGTAATTTTAATGATCAAATCTTTATTAAAAAATTCAAAATTTATTATTTTATACATTTAAAATTATTATAGTTTAGGATTTTCTACAAAATTAATAAATAACTAAGTAATTTTATTCTTTAATAAAAAAATATAACTGCATTAAATTAAATTAGGACTCTTCCTATTTTACTTATTTAAATAACAAAACAATAATAAAAATATAAAAAATATTACTTCTTAATTTTTAAATATTATAAATTATTTTAAAGAAAAAAATTTAAGATGCCTCCAAAAGTTGATCGTTTAGATATCTTTAATCGATGAATTAATGAAAAATTAACATGTATAGTACAAATTTTCTTTTGTTTCTAAAATTGTTTTTAATATTTTAAAATTATATAAAAACTCCAAATTTTAATTTTAAAAATTAATGAATTGTAGAAAAATAAATAAACAAATAAATGATTGAAAATATAAGTCATTTTTTTTTTTAAAAAATATCTTGTAACCAAACTTAATCATGCTAAGCGCTAAAATAATAGTAGTTGACTGTATTTTTTTTTTTTAAATGAATCAAAGTAACAAGTTTTGAAAACTCTTTTACATTTGTAGAATAGTTTTTAGTTGTGCACAAATTTTAATTAATTTTTCATCACATAAAAAACAAAGCAATTTAATGTCATTTAATATAGAAATACATATTCTTAACACAACAATCAATTAATTTGATGAGATCTAATACAAGCTTATTATATAAATGTGGTCATTTTAGAATAGATGTATTTTTTTGTGTGTGGATAAGTTAAGTTTTTATTTGATAACGAGAGAAAAATTAATATGGAGGATGTGCATGTTTAGAAATTGATAAAAAAATAAAAAAAATCGTAAATTTTCTCAAATTATTTGTCATGACAACACTTTTTAACAAAAAATTGCTTGATTTATATCTAAAATCATCCTTCTTTTTTTTTTTTGTAACTTTTCTCAAATTCTTTGATTTATATAATTTTTTTTCATGAAATTTAACTTTTGTGTCACTTTTAATCTTTTCTAGCAAAAAAAAGAAAATAGTGAGAAAATAAAAAGAACATAAAATAAGAAAATAGTTAAAATATAATTATTAAATTAAATTTTATAACAATTTCATGAGATTAATTTTCTATTAACAATTATTAAAAAATTAACAACTATTTTTAAAAAATATCATTAACGATATAAAAAGAATTTAACATATATTTAATTTTTATTAAATCATATAATAAATATATTTAAAGTTAAACTCTTCAAATTAGATAGACACGGCGGCGTTTCGGGAGTCACCTATTTTAAAACTTGTTGAGAACGCTACTTTCATTTGTCTATTATTTCCCATTGCAGAACTTGAAAGGATTGAGTTGAACTAATGCAATATGTGTCACCTTCGTAAGGAATTCGGTCTCTTTAATTACTTTCCAATCATATTTCAAAATAAGGGTAATTTTTTTAAATATGGCCTTTTCATTATGAAAGTATAGAATATGGGTTTCTAACCGATATTACATAAATATGGGATTTGGAAA